CAATGATGGACCTCTGTGCGGGCAGGACTTTGGCAGCCACCCAGGGAATGCGCACGAGTAGTGGCACTGAGTTCACCACCTGTGATGGCAGAGGCAGTGGGGATTTTTGCTGTGTTCCATACTCATGAAAACATCTCACTCCCAGGCTCCTGCACAGAGCCCAATGTGACTCTCCACATGTTTGGCCCATTCTTCCTTCCCCTGGGTCACCATCAAAGCTCTCTCCTACTGCTCAGAGGCCACATGAACATCCTACGATGGCAATCTCAGGAATTTCTGTGGTTTCCGATGTGAACCCAGGCTCTTATCTCTGGGTCCCTGAACCTCAGCCACCTCTCCCCTTTCTCTTGTCCATTTTGCACCACCAGAACTTTCCACCTCAGCACTCTCTCCCTCATGCTTCCTTCCCATCCCATTGCATGCAAATTGCTCTCCCAGAGCCTCCTGCAGGAATGTGTCCCTGCACAGACTCCGCTGAACACTGTACCTGAAGCAACAAGCCATCGTCCTCCTTAACACTGTCCTCCAGCAACTCTGTCAGCCTGATCACAATGGAGTCATCATACTCAAAGCGGTGGGCGTAGATGAGGGAGGTGATCACATTGCACACCGCTTTGCTCATGAGGACGCTGGGCTGAAAGGGCTGCTCTGTGAGGAGGGAGGCTTGTCAGGGTGCTGGGACTTCTCCCAGTAGCTTGTATTCCAGTCCCTTCCTTGTGTCCCTCACCCATCACCTACCAGCATGGTTGGCAAAAGCATCACAGAGGCAGGAGGCCTCCTCGGTCACCCACTGCTCCAGAGACTTCTTGCCCAGGCCAAAGCTGCGCAGAGTGGACACAGCGAATCGCCGCTGCTCACGCCAGGCAGGTCCGTAGGAAGCCTGAATAATGCCTGGATGGGGAACACGTGTCTGTACCAGAAAATGCTAAACTGTCGTTTTGGTAACCCCTCACTCCAGGCTGCTGATCCCACACAAACTCTGTCTCCACCCCTTGCAACAGCTCCTTTCCAGGCCTCATGCCCAGAAGTCAAGGATGTCCTTCGTGCCTGGAGCACATCACCATGCCCAGGAAGCCCTGTCCTAATGAATCACTGCTTCAAGGTTGTACCCTGATGCCACCTGTGCCATACTGATTTATACCTTTGGATCTTGGTGTAAAGCCAATTAATTCACTGGCGGGCATTTGGGGCCGATCTGAGGTGTCCTCGCCATGGGTCACCAGAGCTTCCCGCACCGCTGCCAGCCCGTTGACCACGACCACTGGAGTCCAGGCAAGCTGCAGGCTGAACACGTTCCCGAACCTAAGTTGCAGCTGCAGGTGGAGGCCAGGGAGCCTGTGAGGCTGGGCTTCCTCACAGAATGCAGGTCGCAGCCTCACTCCCAACACAGGGAGACCCAGTTCAACAGTGCAAGACTCAGCTGAGCTGCTGTTTCTTGGCTTTTTCTTATGGGAGTGAGGATGGCACTCACGGCCTCCTCCAGTCCCTCGACTACCTGACCTCGTTACTGCCTGCTGTCCTCCCATCTTCTTAGGTTCAGAACACTCACTGTAGATCTAGCTGTCATCACTCAGCTATGACCTGTGCAGAGTTGGAAAAACTGTCAGTGAGGCCCCTTAGCTTCCCATTCTTCACATGAGGAAACTCAGGACAAAGGTCAGAGCAGAGAGGCCTGGACCCCACGGCACCCTCAGAATCTGATGTGCATCACAGCAATGCTCTCATTATCAATGTCCTGATTCAAGTGTTGCCTAAGACAGTCTCACCCTGCTCCTTCTTTGACAATCCTATCCCTTAATGGCTACAGAAGGTATCTGGGTCCTGAGCAACTTCATGTCCATCCAATCTGGGTCCAGACCTTCTGGCACATCCCACCCACCTCACACTGTTTGCCCTCCTAAACCCTGGTGCATGCAAGGTCCAGAGTGTTTTTTGCTATTGTAGAGTCCTTTCCAGACAGGTCATCTACTTCCCCCCGTTGGACTGTCAAGTCCTTTACTAGGCTGTGGCTTGACCCACTACCTAGTGTCTGTTACTGGCGTGCCACCTGACCATTGCTGCTCACACCTCTAGCTCCCCACCTTGTGGAAGGAGTATGCTGGTTTTTGGAAGTCCACCTGCAGCAGGTTGCCCAGCCCGGGAACTGGCATAGGGCCTGGCGGGTAGCGAGCAGACCAGCATTGACGCCGGTGCATCAGGTCCACCAAGAGCAAGAAGACGATCATGGCCACGACCACAGTGAACAGCACATCCCCAGTCAGTAGCCCCATAGTTTCCTTCTTCAACACTGGGTTCCCTTTAAAGACAGTTTCATAGCTCTAGTCAGCTAGAGGAAGACACACACTCCAGCACACTCTGCATGTTTGAACAGGCAGGCTGTCCTCTTATAAAGCAGGCTGGAAAGGCTGCCCTTTGTCCTAGGTGTGAGACAACCTGTGTATCGATTGTGCAACCAGAGGGTGCTGGGAAGGCCCAGGGCACAGCAGTGGCACATGCCCTTGCTCCTCCTGCCTCTTCTTGTTGATACACAGGGCAAGGGAAGGTCCTGGGAAGAGAGCCCTATGGAACTAAACACACTGGTTATGCACGTTTCAGCCCTGGGCCACACTGGGAAGACAAGTGGATTTGTGCTCAAGGAGGCACAAGCAAAAGCAGATGTAGGTCAGGGAGCTGACAGGCCAACCAGCAGAACTTTGCTGATGTGGATGGTACAACCAACCAGAGTAGTACCTGCGGGGTGTAAGTATGTCACTTACACCATGGTACATCCCCCAAGTACTATGGGATGACTGGATAGGAGTGTCTTCCAGGCTCCATGGAGAATTCTGTTGTCCATCAGAGACGAACTGGTAGCCAACTATTCTTGGCACCAGTGCCTTCTGTCCTTTCTGACTAGGCTACAGAGATTTGGGTCACCGTGTGCCTACTCTCTGGCAAAACTGAAAAACAAACTGACATACGGGGAACTTGAATCAGACTACACTGTCAGACAGAATCTAAGTTTGCTTAATTCCAGGTCTCTTGGACTCAGAAAAAGGATGAAACATTGAAAACCAGTTTGAGGAAATTTAGCAACTTAGAGATATGCTGAGTCAAAATGAATGAACAAATAAATAAATAAATAAATAAATAAAATATTTCTAGAATTTTCTATGGAAGATTTTTGGAGTATGAAACTAGAGAAAAAAATGGTATGGGAGGGTACATGGGGCTAATACCCATGCACAGAATGAATTTTAACCTGCCTTAACACAGAAGGATGTACTGATGCTTGTAACACAACAAAAGAGCTTGGACAATGTCATTAAGTGAAATAAGCCATTTGCACAAGGTGAATCCAGTATGACTCCAGTTGAATGACTTGCTATGCTAGTTAGATTCATACAAACTATGGTAGATCTTATTGGCCAGAGTCTGGGGACAAGGGAGTGGGAAACTATGGTCTAAGTGGCTTAGTATTTCATTTTGCCAAATGAAAATAAACCTGTGGATAAACAGAAGCAATATTTGGTAGCTATCACACCACAATAAAAGCAAATTAATACAGGTATTATACATGTGATCATTTTGTAATAAGTGTAATGGTGGAAAGCAGGTTTAGCAGACTTCCTTGCCAGGCCTGCATGTCTACCCTGAATATGCCAAAACAAATCCCTGACTCCCAAGGGCAGCTGGGAAGCCTCAGCTAAGGCCATGGCACAACTTTCCTTATAAGACTGTCTCTGTACAGCAGCATCTACAGGGCATACTTCACTCTATTCTAGTGATGTCACCTAGTGGGGCTTCAGGCTGCCTCCTGCTGACCTGGAGTAGATGTTCAGTTAATCACTGAGGTCACCCATGTGTGAGCTCCCTGCTGATAGGGCAGATCCTTGGATCCAGGGTTAGCTGAGCTTCTGTGGAGAGCTAAATCTGTGGGCCAGTACATGTGGGTCCCGCCTTGTGGCCAGAGATCTGCCCACAGCCTGGACAACTTTCCTCAGACAGCTCAGCTGAGTGCTAGGGCAGCTCTTCCTGCACTCTGCCCAGTGGAGGTTTTACTGATGCTGATTTGCATCTGTTTCCTGTCCTTGTCCTAAGTTTCCTAGTGAGTGAAACAGTCTTTCCACTTCTGTAAAACCTGGAAATTCACTGCATGTGAGTGGGGTCTTGGGACCACCAGGACCATCTGTCTCTCTTCAAAAGGTCATACAGACTCTGAGCAGAGCCCTTCACACTCAAGCCCTACCTGAGAGCCCTGGAGCTCAAGGGTTCCCTGGGGGTTGGGAACAACCCACAGGCAGGAATAAATCTCAAGAGTGAAAAGGGTTGAGCTGTCCACAGTTGAGGAGCAGTTTTCCTAAATGTTTCCTGGACTCCACAGAGGCCAGGAAAGAACAGATGACACAGGATTAGGTTTCCCATCTATGAGTGGCTGAGGACATATTAGAGACCAGGCCTGGTGGGGAGTGAGACCCAGACACCAGTTTGCAGCCACAGAGATGATTTTATTCCACATCAGATCCCCCACTCAAGCCAAGAACAAGGTTTGGACTCTCCTCTAGCAGGACACAGCGCAGAGCTGGTAGATAAATGCGGTGTTCAGGAACCCAAAGACACCGTGGTCGCTGGGCAGAGGCTGTCCCTCGGGCACTGAGAAGCTGAAGCGCTGCAGCAGGCAGGTGAAGAAGAGGAAGAGCTCCATGCGGGCCAGGGGCTCCCCGAGGCATGCGCGGCGGCCTGTGTGTGGGCATGGGGCTCAGTCAGCCTGGAACCCGGGCTTTGCTTCTGAAATGCATCCTACCAAGGGACCAAGGAGCCAAGGGCCCCCAAGTACCTGCTGAGAATGGCATGAAGGCCTCATGCTTCACAAACTGGCCCTCAGTGTTCAGGAAGTGTTCTGGGTAGAAGTGGAAAGGCTTCTCCCAGATGGTTGCATCTTTCAGTACGGAGGACAGGTTCACGACTAACCCCGTGCCCTGGTAAATGATGGATGGCAGGAAGGTGTTGGGGGCATCAAGAACCCCTGCTACAATATCAGCACAATCTGCCAGGTGCATAAACTGATGCTTGCGGTTAACCCGCAGTCCCAGATACTTCCAGCACCCTCTGAGATCTCAGTGCAGTTGAAAGTGGCACACTCCCATGGGTCCCACTCTACCACCCATTTCTCTTGGTATTGCCTCCACTAATACACTTGACATGTTTTAGTTTTCAGCCTACTAATGAGAGGCCTGTTGTACAGGCTCAGCAGCTTTCACATCAGGATGGGCTGGCAGCACCTACAGATCCCGGGATCGGGTGGCCTGGGTGCTCCTGGTCCCTCCTGGGAGTAGCCAAGCTGAGGAAGAAGCCTAGGCTTACCTTGGAGATGAGGAAGCCCTGCACCTCAATGTCACGGGAGGCCACGTGGGGAAAATTCACTGGGAGGATGTCTCCAAAGCGCTGCACCTCGTGAATCACAGCATTGGTAAAGGGCATATGGGCCTGGTCCCCCATCTCTGGATACCGCCCCTGCCCCATCACCTCATCGATCTCCTGCTGGACACGGCCTGCACAGACAAGCATGCCCATGGGGGGTCAGTCCAGGGGACATAGCCTGACCTTCTCCACTTCTTTCTTTAGTGCTGTGACCAGGTAAAGAGGGTGTAATCAGTCCATGCACTTCAAAAGTTACGTGTCCGTGAACTCCAATGGGAGGCCCTATGGTTACTTTTCCTCCCTCATTCTCCCATCCAGAGCCAGGTGGTCTCACACTGCACATCTGGGTGCAGGATCATGAGCTTCAGGGCCCAGTCCAGAGTGGTTGATGTGGACACCATCCCTGCCGCGAACAGGTCAGCCACAACCAGCCGCAGGTTCTCATCATTGAAGCTGCTCTCAGGGTTCCCCTTGGCCTGGGCCAGGCAGAGAAGGTGGGCTCAAGGGAAGCCAACAGAAGTCCGTAATGAACCCTGTCTGCACCCACACACCCAGGTGCTGGGTAATGGGAGATACCGATGCTCCACCACACCAACTTCTCTCTCTACCCTCAACCCACAGCCCTTAGTCTGATCATTTGACCCTGCCATTTACCTTCTCCATCTCACCCAGGAAGGCATCAGTCAGGTCTCGAGGTGGCTGGCTCAGGTCAAAGGTTGCCCTATGCTCTGCCACAAGCTCATCAATCAGTGCCAAGAAGGCCTTCTGGGCAAGGAGGACCCTGTCAGTTGCACCTGGGATGCGCAGGAGCACTGGGAATGCGTTCAGCACCTGTCAGAGGCAGAGGGAAACTTGGTCCTGTCTATCCACACTTCTGTCCTGTTCCATTAACTAAAGTGCCAGTCTGTATTCTCTCTGTTGGTTCTGAAATGCCAAATGGAACATCCTGCTCTGCAACTCTCATGGGCTTGTGGGGCTTTAGACTTGATAGGAGGTACAGGGTTTGACCCTCTTGGGAGCGTTTACCCTAAGAAATTTCTCCCTCTAACGTTGTCTGACATTTTTTATCTCCAGCTTTTCCTGCTTCAGCAGCCTTCCTCAGACTCCCTATCCACAGCCCGCTGTACTCCAATCCTTCCCAGACGAGACCCTGTACACAGAGCTGTACTTGCTGCATCCCATGTGCCCTACCTGGGGAATCAACTCAAGGCCCTGATTCGTGCTTCTGTCCAGCAGGTCCAATATCGTGCCCAAGAGTGAGTCATCATACTCAAAGCGATGCGCGTAGATGAGGGAGGCGATCACATTGCACACTGCTCTGTTCAGGAGTTCCTTTGGGCTAAAAGGGCATCCTGGGACAGGGATGTGGTCAGTGGGTCCCTGTTTCCCCTAATCCACTGCTACCTTGTCCATTCTTTTGTTCAGAGCCCATCACTCACCATTCCAGGTGGCAAATGCAGTACAGAGACAAGAGGCCTCCTCTGTCACCCACTGCTCCAGCGACTTCTTGCCCAGCCCAAAGTGGCGCAGAGTTGACACAGAGAAGCGCTGTTGCTCATGCCAGGCAGGCCCGTAGTGTGCCAAGATCAACCCTGATGAGGACACAGGCACAGCACAGTATGCACATGATTAACCCTATCTACTGTGTCCTTCAACCTCACACCGTTCTTCTATTCTTAAGGGCAGAGTGTCCACATTGACACAATGAATATTTAGTCTTAATTGTCAGGCTCTATTTCCAGGCTTAAACTGAAGACTTTATCCACATTCCCTTGTGTCCCTTGATCACATCCCTGCCCCCAGAAGATCGTAACCTTCATTAGACTACAGCCACCCACGTCACACCCTGCTGCTTTCTCTGCCCACCACCTTTTGCCTTGGGATCGTGGACCGAAGCCCAGGTGTTCATTGATGGGCACTGGTGGCCGGTCTGCAGTATCCTCGCTGTGATTCACCAGCACCTCACGCACAGCCACCAGCCCATTGAATACAACCACTGGATTCCAGGCGAGCTGCAGGCTGAACACGTCCCCGAAGCGGCACCGAAACTGCAGGGATGGGGTGGGGTGCTCCTTACATCAACTTCTCCATGAAATCTGATAACCTGTGCTCATTCCAGAACCCAGCCCTGCTGCACAAACCTTCCTGCATATGTGGAGCAGTGCAGAAATAATACTTGGTGCCTTTCTGGCTTTTCTTTGTTGCAGTGTGGCTGGTATGCACAGCCCCATCCATGCTGGACGAGCCTTCTCCCAAGAAGCACTGCTCCTGCCCAAGGCCTGCCATCTTTAAACTTGGTTCATGTTCTCAAAGATCAAAGGATCATTGTACATCCAGATCCCACCCCCAAATATGACTCAGTAGAGGCATAATACTGTAAGTAGGGTTTACTGGCATCCTCCTTTAGTTTGGGGAATTTCAGGATCATGTGAAACCCTAAATTACTGCATTGTGAGATTTGAAGCAGGTCTTGACACCTGTCAAACTCAATTTCCTGACAAATGCTGCTCTGGTAGCTGATCCTCCCCTCATCAGAAGAGCTGTCCCTGTGATACCATCAGAATGGACATGGGCCATAAATAACTTCTAATCTCTCCCACAATGCACCATGTCCTCTGCCTATTGTGCTCTAGCTCCAGGCCTGTGTCCTCCCACACCTCTGCAATGAGAAAGTGAAAAGCATTCTGCCTGTCTGCCTCACATCCCCACCATTGTTCTCTTTCTCATGGTGCAGACTCAATCCTGTCACCCTGCATACCTAGTGCCCTCCCCAGGGAAGCCAGTCCACCTGCTACCTCTCAGGGTTCTATGCCTGTCCAGCCTGTGGCCTCACCAATCACTCACTATCTGCTGCTAAGGGTCCCCATGACCTGTCCTGGCTTCCACCCCAACTCACTTACCTTGTAGAAGGAGTATGGTATGTTGTGCAGGTTTATCTGTAGCAGGTTGCCCAGGAGGGGCAGTGCCACAGGGCCTGGTGGGTAGCAAGCAGCCCAGCGTTGGCGCCGGTGCATCAGGTCTACCAGGAGCATGAAAATAGTCACGGCAATGGCCAGTGAGAAAAGCGCATCCCCAGTCAGCAGCCCCATGGCTGCCTTCCACACCACCAGTCTCCTCGAAACAGACCCGGCAACACGTGCCACTTGAGGCACCTAGGAACAGGCAGCAATTCTCACCACACCCTGGGAAGCAAGCAGGTCAGCCTCTGCATTTTAGAGCAACTGGCTGCCCTCTGCCATCTGCTGCGAGCCAACCTAATCTATCAATTATAGCCAAAGGCCAGACAGAGCAGCTGGGGTAGAACAGATACAAGGGAAGGTATAGCCCTATTTGCCCTTCCTCTCATCCCTAGATGATGCCCAGAGAGGAGCTCAGGAGACCTGGAAGGAACTTAATGGAAGTTTAAGAAATCGTTGTGCTGGGCCAGGAAGCCAGTCAATCTGCTGTCTTCTGTTGGACTAAGGTACATGACCCAGAGGGGGTGCAGAAAAACCAAGGGCCGACATGCCAAGCACGTAGGGCTCTGAGGAGAATGCAGAAAACTCATCAGGGTGGGGTACTTTTACAGGCTTCATGGAGGAACTGGAGACAGACCGAGGGGCTGGGCTGCAGTACACATCACAGGCTTCTCAACCACTATAAGACATAGACTAAGACGAGGCCAGGCCACATGGACGGCTGAGGAATCTGAGAGCTGAGCAGGCCACAATTCCTCACTTGAGAGTGTGGGCATCCAACCCATGGCTTGTCTCGGACACCCTGAGTGAAGCACAGCTGCCCTAGGCTGCCCTGAAATAGTTAAATAGTAACCAAACTTCTTTCTCCTGCTTTATTATAGGACTAAAACGGGGCAATAAAGATAAACTGTTGAGTTATTTGTCCTTGATTTTATAAAATTAATGCATCAATGTCCTGTTTTGATGACGTGGTTACAACTCTGAGGGTCGAAGGTTGTGATCTAACATCATTCTTTAAAACGATGGTTCTCAAATGTACATAGTATGAAAAAGTCACATTGTAAATAAGGTGTGACAGGCCAGGGAGATGGCTCAGTGGAATAAGCACTTCCCTGGCAAGCACAAGGGTCTGAGCTCGATCCCCGGTTCCACAAAAAAAATAAATAAATAAAAATAAATAAGGTGTGACAGTGAAGGGAGGTTCAGTGTACAAGGAGGGATTTTTTTCTCTAGCAAGAGAGGTCTCATTGAAGGAGACCTGATCAAGTTTTTCTTTCAAATGAACACCTGATTGCAAGTCTCTACTTTCCAAAGATTATATGTAACCAACCATTTTTTTGAGTAATAGTGCTGTGGGTGTAATCATAAAAGCTTGACAGTTTTTCTGTACTTTCTCTCTCTCAGATTCTACAAAGTATTGTTATTGATCAAATTCTTTTACCAAATAGAGTTGGAGATATAGCTCAGTGGCACAGTGCCTGCCTGGAAAGTTGAGAAGCCCACATTGAAGAGTTAAATAAGATGCTATACTTGGTATTACCCCCCCAAAATAATAATAATAATTATGGGATTCCATAACAATCAAATAAGTGGGGCCAGGGAGATGACTCAGTAGAATAAACACTTCCCTGGAAAGCACAAGGCCCTGAGTTCAATCCCTGGTTCAGCAAAATAAATAAATAAATAAATAATAATCAAATAAGAAAATTTCTCAATTCCTAGTTGCAAAAACAAAATAAACCCAGAAAAGCAAAACAAAAACTTCCATGACTGCTTGATAATAATAAATGGGGAGGGGTGGGCTGGGGATACAATTCAGTGGTACAAGAACCTTCCTGGAAAGGGTGAGGTTCTGAGTTCAATTGCTGGTACCACAAGAAAAGAAAAAAAAAGAAAAGAAAAGAAAAATCAATTAACAATAAGTGGGGCTAGGGAGATAGTTTTGAGGAACAGGTACCTGCCTGGCAAGGACAAGGTCCCAAGTTCCATTTCCAGCACTGCACACAATGCAGGCCACCACAGGCACTGTGGCTGGAACCATTGGCTCCACAGAATCAAGCAGCACATGAGTAATAGACTGCACTAGAGGACAAAGACTGCAGCCTGGATCAGACTCCCAAGCAGAGGCTTCGCACACAGTAGGCCTGTATACTCTCCCAAAACCAAGTCAGCAAAGGAGACAGCTTAGAGGCATCACAGACTTTTTTTTCCTCTGAAATCTTGACCAGTTAGCAAGTTCTATTTATTGAAAGTTGACAAGGCTTTCAGACCACTCTCTTCTCTACTGGTCAACACTGAATGTCAAAAGTCTGGGCTCAACCTCACAGCTCAGCCTAACCATGGTCTGCTTCTTTATATTTCTGGTAACAGGACTCAAAGGCAGATCCTTCTGTTTTCCAGGAGGTGCTGTGTCCCTGAGCTTCACTCTGGTCCATCCTGTCCACTCCTGCCCATAGGAAGTTGCTCTCATTCTTCAGAACTATCCAGACATGGTGCCTGTTCCTCAGTGCTGGTATCACATGAAAAGACATCATGTGCTACTCTAACCCAAAAGTCCACTGCCCACAGCAATTTGGCCTAAACACAGCCATCTTAAGGGGCATTTCTTGGCTTCCTCATGAAAAAGTCCTTGCTTATGCCCAAAGATACAGACAGAAAAGGAGTTTCTCTCCAGGTGCAAGTGTCCAAGTCTCCTTCTGCTCTCTCCACTCAGCTCCTGTTTCAGGTCAGCTGGGTGCAGGGCCCTTCTCCATGGAATTTGAGCAACTCACTTAGTCCTCAGGTTGCTTCCTCAGCTGGGACAATGATCCTACTCTGGGACCTCCCTGGATGACAGGTAAGCATTCACCATGTAAGAACAAGGGGCCAAGGGCCACACCACATGGATACCTCATCCCTTGTTCTGCCCGTCAGTGGGGCTTATCCTGCTGTTACCCTGGTCACTTTCTCTGAGAAGTCATGAGGGGTCACAATTCTCCTCAGATCGTACCTAATGCAACTTGTGCTCTCTGCTTTACCTACTTGTTCTTGCCCTACCCTCTCTTTCTCCCTCAAAAAAAAAAACCAGGAACTGGGTGCAAGTAGAATTCACATGTGATGAACGCATCACATCCCAAGCACATCCAGTTGTCACTGAACCCTCCAGGATATCACACTGCAGTTAACATGCACAGTGCTGTCCTCCTCAGGGACTGGGGCTCTGCTGAGGCCTTGGCTCGGGGATCCCTCTCCTGTGAAGCTCTCATTTCCATCTTGCCCAATCTATTTTCAAGGTCCCTCACAGGCACACAAGAAGCCCCTCCAACATCAGTGGTTTCTACCTCTGCTCCCTTTTTCACTAAGGCCAGGGCTCACTGAAAAACTCCTGTGTTCAGTGCCTTCTCATAAGCTCCTCTCCACACTCTGGGCAGTGACAGCACATCAAGTGTCAGGGCTAAACTACCACCTTGCCCTAAGTGTGTCCTCTGGGAATACATATACCTCCCTACACTCTGAACAGTGCTTCTGATAGTAGAGATGAGTTTTCAGAAAGCCTATATCCTGTCCCTTTCAGACAGCTGAATATGGTGTTTGTAGCTCTGCAGGAACATAGGTGAATCCAAAAGACTCAAAGACATCACTTGGAGTCATGAGCACGATGACTTGCCAACTGTGATAGGCCACTCTGTCCCCTGCAGCACACACCACACAGAGAAGCGGCAGGGTCAACCTGGGCATGTGTGTGCTGTAAGGCAGGACACAGCACCCAAGGAGACTGGCTGCCAACGAGATCTGCTGAGGCCACTGGCTTTCGGGACCATTCCATTCACTCCCTCTCAAAACAGTTTGTCCCTGAAAATTATGAGGACACGATCTATGTTTCTCTCTGTGCCTATGGTGAATGTGGTTCTGGACCCACGGGGGGATTTTTTAAAAAAAATCTTTCGTTGGTGGCTGGCTCTGCCAACCCTGGGGGCAGGGGTGTCTTGGCATGTGGTATGAGCAATAGAACCATGGTCCCTGTGCACTTGCCTAAGCTTATCTAAGCAGGTGTTTCAGACTGTTGAGCTATCTCGCTGGGCCTGGGCAACAGGTTTTTAAAACAATTTTTTAAATGTATTTAGTACAGGGCATACCGGGTTTCACTTTGTAGATCGGATTTGTAGTGATCCTCCTCTTTTCAGCCTCCCAAACTCTGGGATTATAAACACATACCACCATGCCCAATCTCACTTGCTAACTCAGCTTGCCCTAGGGGGGTGGGGCCGGCATAGCACACCAGAGATAGAAACCCTGGTCCCTCTGCTCTGCCTAAGGAAGAACTTTAATCGGCTGAGCTATCTAAGCAGCCCTGTTTTTTATTTCTTTTTTTTTTTTGCTTTACTTTTAAATTCTCCTAATATATATAAAGCTCTCTCAAATCTGCAGAAATAAGACCCATCAGATACAGTTGAAAGCAGGCAGAGGCAGACTTTTACCCAGGTTGCTATTATTTCTACATACAGAAGAAAGCATCTTTCTAAGACTCTAGTTCAGGACACGCATGCTTGGCTAGTGTACAGAAAATTCTGGTGGCCCCCAAGTGACTTTGAAATTCACAAGAAGATGATTAGGATGGACCGGTGGGTGGAAAGAATTTCAAAAAAGCTACCTGCTGCGATAGCACATGCACTAACACAGATTTGTGACAAGGAACCACAGACTGATAACTGCATATTCCAGCAGGTGGTCTTGGGCATTCACTGGAAAATTCCCGTAGGTTTCAATTTAATATAAATAAGTGCAGGACGA